GATCCAGAACAACCGATGCACATCAACCAATTGCATGCGATGGAGAGATGCATGTGGTAGTGATCTCTCTTTTTTCTTGTAATTATTCTTTCCAATAAATTCCTGTCATAACATTCACATTTAGCTATAAAGTCAGCAAATCAAAGACGATATGCCGATTCAACCAGAGGGCAACCCATTAGGTATCAATCGCGAGTTGCGATTTTGACGCAAGCTGGTGGATAACGCAATCCTCTTCAAAGTAAAGTGCGCCATGACTATGCTGTATGACGATCGCCTGAAACCATCATGAGTAGCTAATCATACTGTTGGTTGATGATTAGCCAGTGGGAAATAGGTACTGTTGCTTTAGGTGATTCAAAATTACTAGAAATTTGTGGCGTTGACGAATTCGAGGTGCCTGATCATATCACTAATTGCGATCACCTACATAGTATCAATTTTAATAATATGCTCAAATGTTTTGTTCTGAACGCGGCTAACAATTACGTGTTAGTTTAGTTATTATACTGGTGTAGTAAGTTAACTTAGCAAGGTTACTTCATTATCGTACCTATGTTAAACGTCTTTTTAGACACAAAGACGTATAACAATAACGAGTATGATGGGTTTAGTGGAAAACTTCGATGGCGGTTCAAATAATTATTAAATTCAACTGACATGGAGAAGATATAATACAACGCATATGCAGGCTAGGTTTATATGCAGGTTGATGAAGCATTTAACAATTAAAAACAATTGCCTTGGCCAGTAAGACAAGTTTAAAGTTAAGACTACCTATGGAACTTCAGTTAAGAATATGACGAGTTATAAACTTTCCATAAGAATTTACTATAGTTAGCTTAATGATATTTACAAATATTTGGGAGAGGCAATTGGGACTAAATGTCAAATGATTTTCTGAATCTAATATGCTTCGTCTTTACCGTGTTCGGGTTCTTACTACTCCGGTAGCTGAAACGGGGTTCGCCTAATTATGGTGACGGAATTAGACGAAAGATTATTATTTATAGCGTATTCGTCCGTTTTTTCGAACTGGAATCAGATCAGCGAGACACTAGAAAAGATATTGTGTTTTTAGCGGTCACAATCATAAGAGTACATGAGGCAGAATTAATCTTTGCTAACGATGAAGATTCCTTTCCTGAATATAACAGCTAAGCAATGAGAAAGTATAGAATTTGTCTTCCACTTGTGATGTTACGCGTTTCGCATCATTAATTGTAGAAGCTTATTCCCCTTATTTCCTCGTTTAGTTATGAATTATACAGAATAATTCGCAGTTTCTCTCATACTTCTTTTAGGATTAACATAGGGCTTGAACATTTGTATTCCTGGCTTACCCATTTCGAGATTTGGTCTTGTCAGTCTCCAGTAACTTTCCAGATTTGTTCAGACTCAGATTCGCAAAGTAAAGAAAATAGGCCTACGGCCTATGTTGTTCATTTTCTAGTTCACAGATAGCTGCGCTCTGTACCTTTCCCAGGATATCTCAGTCAAATTTGAAGCAGGAGCATGCAGCATGGGCGTAGTTCTCAAGTGCTCTATTTAAAAGAACAACGGCGTTTTTCCTCCGAGTATGATTTATAGTATTAATATTTTAATTACGCAGCACGACTACTGTTTTTGCTTTAGTTGAATTTATTTCAGTCAAAGTAGTCTCCAAGAGTATCGCTTTTTTCTGGTGAAGTTTATAATCTGTATTTTTGAGTACAGATACAAAAAGGCACTGGTATTTGCTTTCCACGTTGAAAATGTTATTTAGCATCGCTTGTGTTCAAAGGCGTCAGGCTATTTTTGCAACTACTGAAGTCGGATTTCTTTATTGTGATGTACAGACCTCTATTTCATTCGTGTTCAGTGTCTACCAACTATCAAGGCTTGAAAGATACTTGTTCTAGAGATCACTTTTCGCTGTTGTTCTTCCTGTGAGATCACAAAACAATTTTATGGCCCAAGTGAAATATCTTTGTATCAGACACGCATGCTATTTCCCGGTCGATGATGGAATCTATGTGAATCTACGGATTTGATCTCGGACTCACATATCAGCGCAAACCAGACTATGGGGGAAGATCTGAGCTGCGTAGAGGATGTGACCAAGAGATAAAATAAGGTAAATGATTGGCTTACAGTCACACCCAGAAAGGGAAAAGTAAGAAAACAGACTGAAACCTCTGTGTCTGACTCCAAATAAGAATCGGATTGCAGGGAGATTTCCGGAATTAGAATTACACAGCGTGTTAAGACAGACCCAGCTGACAGGTCAGCGATTTTTTATAACTAAAATAATCTTTCGAAGAGGAACTAAAAGCTAGATTCGAGCACGACCGCAACCACATTAAGTCTTTAATAAGCAAGCTACTCCCAGAAACAGTTTCAGGAGTCAGAATATGTAAGCTTCATAGAACATGACAATAGATGGATTCTTAAGGTGCTCAGGTTAACGTTACTTCGGCTGAAAAAAGAAACCTAATACTGGGAAACTCACACAAACTGATTTGATCCGGAATATACGTCCGTGAGCACCTCAGTCTGGTTGACTTTATTCCGAACCGATCAGCAGAAGTAAAAATAAATGGTGAAAAAACATAGCACTTAAGGGTTTTCAATTTGTAAAAATTCGGAGCGAAACGATCTCCGAATTATTCTGAGTGGTAATGGAAAGTTCTCCACAGAATTAAAGATGCGCTACACAAATGCTCACAGCCTACTAAATAAAATTGTGGAGCTCAAGATAATGGTAGTTATCGAAAAACCGGATGTCACTGCTATCTCGGAAACATGGTTAACGTCAGAAGTGTTTGATAATTAAATTCAGTCGATCGGATTTTGATCCAGTAGGTCTGATAGACTAAACCGTAGGGGTGGTGGGGTTATCCTGTACACAAAATTGCCTTAAACATACGAGCTGTTGAGACAGTGACACACGATTCATGGACATATGAAAGGGTGCGTTGCAGGCTGAAATGTAGACGACAAGATATTGAATTAGTCCTTGTATACCACAGTATACCGATCTTCATGATTGAGAACGAGCCAATCAGTCTGTGATATAGAGATTGTTCTCCTAAGCTCACCATTCGGACTCAAGCATACGATATTATACTGGATTAGCGATTCTGTCAAGATAACCTATAGCATGCTAACCTGAACTTTCACACTAGGGCTGTATGGCTGGGATAAAATGGATAAAAATATGAAGAACTGAAGATGTCCAGAAAATGGAAGACACAGTTATTAGTTTCTTTAACACTACTCTGTTGAAGCGCTTTCTGTTCTAATAACCAACCTTCCTAATTCTAATTTCTACTTTCCCTCCATCATTTGAATTTACTCCACCTTGATAAATATAATGAGTTCTTGTTATTCATCATAGAATACTCTCATCTAGAGGCTCTAATCACATTTCATTCTAACAAAAACGGCTAGCATGAGTTTAATCTACAAATTTATCCTACCTCTGTCTGTTCCACTACAAAATGTTAAGGATTGTTTAGCGCTCATGTCCAAGTGCCTTGCTCCTCCTTTGTTTCTCTTTTTTCAGCATCACACTCTCAGAGCACAGCCATGGAGCTTTTGACGCCTGGAACAAACTTGACGTACAAGTCTTCTCAAGGTCATAGTTCACATCAGGCACTCTGCAAGTCTACTTAATAACAACTATGAACTTGAATAGTTTTAACGCATTAATACTTAGCATGACCAGAATTCTAACACATTTATGCCGAGCATGGATCCAGTGTGTAACGTGGACGCGATGCCGCTTTGAAAAATATTTTGAAGACTGTACTCAGTGTAATACTAAAGCACGAAGCTAATCATTAACGCTCCAAAGCATCTGCACGAATATACTGTGAGTAAACTAATGTTAAATTTCGTATATCATAACTGTAAAATGATGTGTGTCTGCCCTGACGGACTTCAACAAAGCATTTGATAAGGTGCCAATAAATAGACTGTTCTTGACGCTGGAAAATCCAGGCATTGCCGAACCTCTCTTAAAATGCATTTAAGATTTCCTTAGGTTAGAAAGTTTGAGTAAATCTGGAGACCGGTTCTTAATGGAGTATTGCAAGGTTCCGTCCTAGGTCCTTTACTTTTTTTGCTGTATGTAAATGGTCTTCCAAGTATATCTGAGTAGCCAATGTTACTATACGCTGATGACGTAAACATCTGTCGAGAAATAACAGGAGACGTATATATATGCACACCGCAGGCAGACTTAAATATTGTGATTAAGTTGTCTAAAGAGTGGCTGATGTCTATCAACGCGGCAAATTGTGTCTACATGTACTTTGAAGATACAAAGATAAATAGGTACAGCATATAAATTCTTGTACCCGTGGTCCAGTCTCACAAGGATCTTGGGGTAACAGTGAGTCATGATCTTAAGACGACGGCGCACTGCCTCGAGGTTGGAGCTAAGGGGTTTAGAACCCTATTGGCTAAAAGACAAACACTCACCAAATTAGGTACTACCATGTTCACCACAGTATACAAAACCTTAGTGAGAATTAAGCTTGAGAACTTTAATTCTCTTCATTTTCTCTTTCTCTCGAAGTAAAGAACACAAACATTTTTTGTTGAACCATGATGTGAATTTTTTCATCTACGTAGTTTTTTTCCGAAGTGCGTTTAATGTGGTAACTTATATTTGCGAATTCCCAACCATTTTCAGAGAAGGATTCTGGTTCTAATGTCCAATCCCCTGAGTGCAAAGGGTATGGAATTTCTCCCATTTTGCTTTGAAGATGTTAGTTCTGACTCAAGCTGACACATTGCTCTTGGAAACGACATAGAAATCAGCAACTAAAACTATGATTACTAATGCCTCGGAATGACATATGATCAGACTATATGAAGATAAATAAATAAAACAAAATAAACTTAGACGTCATAAGTACCTAACGTCCAAATTCACAGTTGGGTTATTTACTTTTTCTGAACAATCAGATAACCTATAACGTTTCGCTTCCACGACCTTTAGCGGCGGGAAGATGGGTAGAGGATGTACTACGTTTCTCGTCGTTTCATTAATGACGTTTAATGTAATATTTCTCGTAAGTCTCCGTAATCCATATTCATGTGACTAAGTACTGAACATATTTTCGATGTGCGTTCTTCTCCAGAACCGTAAGATTAGCTTTCTAGTATTATCGTGTTCATCTAGTTGACTGAAATATAACTAAAGATTTATTTTTCATTCTTTGTGCATGAATAAATATTCCAAGTTATGATATATCTTTCATCACATATTCAAAACACATACGTTCAATAAATAACATACTTTGGGGAAGTTTCTACTGTTTTTAACCTCGGTCATCTTCGTCTGTGTAGTGTAATTGATCAGTCAAACAAATGGTGAATTTACATAAACGTTCCTTATTTGTACGTTTATAGGGGATTGTAGACAAACAGAGAGGTTGGTGCAAAGACCGGATGTAATTGTTCGATTGTCTGGACGCGAGAATCATATCCACTCACTCAACAGTAGTTTTATCTAGACGGAAATAATGTATGCTTTAGAATTTAGCAATTATTAAAAACATAGAGTATTTATAGTTTTTAACATAAACCAGCCCAAGCATTCTGGTACCAATACTTGTTTTACGGGTATCGAGTTCTGATTAACATCTGAGGTTATAGTGTGTCGTGGCAAATTGTTAGACATATTTAAGAACTGTTTTTAATTGTATCCGTAATTTTAGCTGATTTGTGTTTGGTTTTAGTGTCAGTCACTGTACCACGTAGTTTGTCAAGCCAGAACCTCTAGTTCTGCTTCAGTCAGGGTTACTGGATGACATTACCCATCACATATAATTTTAGTTTGAGACCTACTACATAAATCTACACTTCCTAATACGTTTCACGACAAAGGAATAAAACAAGAATGAAAAAATTGTCTCAAGTTTCATATGAAATTAATAACTTGTTTTTCAAGATTCTGGGTAAAATTAATCATTATCAGAATAGGGGTATCTGGAGATTTTAATTTCAACAGTTGAATTCATAAGCCAATCTAAGCTAGACCACCTTTAGGAACCTGAGAGCACTGAACAGCTATGCACTCCTAATATGGGGTTCCTCAGCAGTTCTCATCCACGACTACATACTAAGACGAAACAGCCGTCCAGTGCTTCCATATTTTCACTGGCGGTCTAGTTTAGATTGACTCATGAATCCAACCGTTAAAATCAATTAATTGATTCCCATTGATTGCCCATAAATTACATATAATGCCCACATTATTATAGCAGGAAATCAATAATTAACTAACGACTTGAGATCGGTGCACATTTCAACCTCATCAGTAGTTTCAATGGACTGAAAAAAGTCATTATATTGTTACTCATTTTCTGCCATCTTGTTTTCTCTTTTTATAACATTATTCTCTTGTGTAAAGTGTCTTGAAGGTCGTATTATACTCTGACAAAAAGGTTTATATATGAGTTGATTTACGAATAAATATTACGGGAGGTCTTTGCTCTTATTCTTTCAGATACTTTTGGAATAGCAAACTGCTTCCCAATGCATTCTTGAAATTTGAGGTTGATTACTCATTTTAACTTATCCAAGCTTACACCCAAATAGTATACCTTTTAAACAAGCAGAGAACCTAGTCGGTGACATTTATGAGATATATATACAGAAAGAGTTCCTGTTGAGTGTTGTGACTGATTTTTCGATCTTATCTGGCTTCGATTCCCTAGGGAGACGAGTCATTGTTTGACTCAAAAGTCTACAAATTGACGATATAGAAGAGAAAACCGATTTGCAATGAGTTTGGAAGAAATTTATCCCCGTAGGTACTTAAGTAAATAAATAATCTCAAAATTTTATCCAAAAATATGTCTGTGCCTGTGATTAACTGTGTTAAACGTTTCTTAACATAGTGACGAAGAATCTTTAATATTATATTTATAATTTTAAGCTGAGTGTACAGGGTCTTAAAAATCATCCCATAAAATTTTGCTCCTTGTTTTTAATTCCCAAGTTCCTACAATACTCGAAATTTCACACTTAGTCATTTTGTTTGACTCAAAATATATACTTATTTTATTTGTGACTTCGGTGATATACGCTTGTACACGAAAAGAGAAGTATACATTCGAACAATGTTGTGTTATTTGTTGTATTTATGTTATAAAAGTACAGAGACCAAACAAGATAACAAAATGTCCTCCTTACTGACTAACTGAATCACTTATCCTTTCATGTAGCTAATGTTTAATCAATTAGACATCTAAATAAGGAAAATCAAATAAACGTTTCTCGCAAAAAAGTAACCGAACTCATTGCCCAGTAAGTTTGATAGGATAAGTAAATAAAAGAAGGGATTTCACAATGAAACCATAATGTCATTGGCTGCTGAACTGAGTTGTTTATAAAAGTGTATTAGCTGGACATGTTTTTTCACCCCATTCTTCGACCACAAATTTTTTCATTCAACTTTTTAATCAAATTGGTATGATCGTTTTTCTTGTCCTCTTTTTTTCTGTCCCACTTTAAGGTGATAACTTGAGCCAGTACATATTTGTGCCGTCTTTGGTTAAGATAAATTTTATTATAGAAATTAGAGGTCGGTGTCATGACCCTCCGTTCTGTTTTGAAATCAAAGTACTTAAGTTTAGCTTTTACAGTTCTTGTTGTTACTTCCCATGTGTTATTTTGAAGTGTTTTGACGGCTAACAAGCTAATAAATTACTCAAAACTTACGGTTATTTCAGTCATTTAGTGGACCAAACCTATTTATTATTCAACCAATCTATTTAGTCTGTCAAAATCAGTCATCGCTTAAGTTTTCTCGATTGCACATGGATTAATTATTTTCATATTTAACAATATATTTTCACTATTAATAGTTAATTGGTGCCGCAATACTATGTTTTGCCGTATATTGTTATGTGGATTCATTAATTCAAAGTGCAGTATCTCGTTCTGGACATGCCGATAAAATGCAGAACTTATTATATGCTCTTATCGGCCTAGGCCTGTTAACGATTGTTGTGGCTGTTTTTGGATGTTGTGGAGCATATCATGAATCTCGCTGCCTACTTGGAACATACTCTATTTGTTTAACTATTATGTTCGGAGTTGAAATAGCTACAGCAGCCCTGTGTTTAGTATTTAAAGTTGAAGTAAGTAAATTGTAACTACTTAACCTATACTAGACGGAAAGAAGGATTATTCAAGCTTTAGAAAATATTATAATGCGATTTAAAAATGAATCAGTTGATGAAAACTTTGACAAAAGTGATTCTTACCGTGATTGGATACAAAAAAGCGTACGTTTTCTTCATATTCACTATTGTTTAATAACCAAAATAATTGAAATTTATTCTATATTTTGATGTTATATGCTATCAAATTAAATTTTAATCTATGACGAAGGAAGCAAAAATGACGATACAATATAATTTTGATGTAAATCCCCTAGTATTTAAATTCTCTGATGTTTTTTCAGTAGATATGGCCACTGAAATTTTGTCTAGAATATTATCTTTCGTCAATCTATTTTTTGTCAGCAATCTCATAGGATTAATTTAAGGCATATCAATTCATCAGAAGGTTGTGTTTTGAAACAACTGTAAAATCAAGATTTACTAAAAACTGGAAAATGTGAAACAAACATTTTTCATGTTATTGAAAATTTTGTTCTGAGTTTGAAACACAGTTGAGTCGTGATATCAGTACGACTCAACAACCAAGTAACGGGTTGTGTAGTCGACTTTGGCCATATTCGCAAGTGTGGGGGTTGATGATACTTCTGGACTATGCGGTGCAAATAAGGTTGTGCAAGTTTCGGCCTTGTAACGCACCAGTTAAAAGTCGAGTAATTTAATCATTTTTGATGAAGTTTTCTGTGAGCTTCTACCTGGAGTTTGTGCTGATGATGTCGTTCAGACGAACGATGAAAGCTCCACGACCAAACCATCCAGTTCACAAAACAAACGTATCAAAATCATCCACCTGAGTTACAAATCTCCACCATCTCAAAATCGTATGAGCGTAGTACGCTTCTCGTTGTTCGAAAATGGGACAATTTCGCCAAAAGGTAGACTTCCACTCTAGAACAACTGTGTTTTCTCCATGAATGTCTTCGTCAGCATGTTCTACCAACAAGTGTAAGATACAGACCTCCAACCACCTGCCCACCATGGCACAAGTCCATGAAGTCATTGACAAGTAGACTGAGCCATGTTGGTGGGTGTAAACTACCTGGTTGGGGACCGCGAGATGATAGCAACCAGTGGTTAAAGATCTTGAATGACATGGCTCAAAATCGTTTGCAATGGCGCAGGTGCATCCACTCTTTGTGTTCTCCCAAATTCTAATCTGAATTCGTGTTCCTTTTTTCTTCACTGGATTATACTCTTTGAATAACATCTTCAAACCCTAATCTTTCCGATTAGTGCTTATACTCTTACAACCTCTACCACTATGGGATTTGAGTCGACAACTGCATCTCTGTGCTAGTGTGGTGTGGCAACTCGAACTGATGTACGTACGTACGAAGTTCTACGTTGTTACTAACTGACTGATCAACTGCCCATTGGGATGGAGAATAGCTGAGCAAAGTAGAAGAAAAATGGTACACTTAATTATAACCGATGCACATTACAGGATCCGCAAATACCAACATGTCATTAAATCTAATCACTAAACCAATACTATGCAACTGTTTATATGGCAGGGTAAATATTTCCTTGCCTGACGTTACAACTGTGTAACAAAACTGGTGACCTTCACTCGCTCACTAGCTAACACTAGTAAGGCTGTACAAGCCACTCAAAATATTTGTATTTCTTGGATCATGAAGAAAACTTTTTAAACTTTTGTTCTTATCACTCTAGTTAAATATTATACTAAAAGGTTTAAATGAGTGATGGAGACGCAGAATTCGGAATTAAATTTATGATAAAAGATTAAAGTTGAGCCAGGTCAGGTTCATAATTTTTTCGATATTTTAGACATTCCGTAACGAATACTGTCACATAACTGTTCGTTAGTCTGGTCACATGGGTTGGAATCCCATTGGAAGCGCCAGTTCCCTGAAGATTACAGGCACGCCTTATTAAGGAGTGCCAGCTGAAATGAAACTTTAGTGCAGGGTTTATTGCCGACTACCTGATAGAATTCAATCAGCGTTAAAAAATTCTCCGGACAAACATGACATTGTTCACTACTAAATGATCAATCACTTATTAAGGTGATTATAAAACTCAATTCATTCGTAATTTTATTAGAAAATAAGACAGTCGCAGTTGTTTTCATTGACATTTTTTCATTTATTCTGTTCTTTTGCTTCTACAGCTTCATTGTTGTGGTATCAACGGAATGAATGATTATCCAGGATTAACTGTCCCATTATCATGTTGTATTCCGAAGCATCGAAATTGTCCAGACAAATCTGCCTCGCACACTATAGTAGGTGATAAGTATAATTTCTCTCCTAAATGAATTGTGATTGCTTATCCGTTTTGTTAAAATGGTTGGTTTTCATCAAATAAGATTTTCACCGATATTCTATTGTGTCAATACCTTAGTTTGACCATAGAAAATGAAATGGTTGAGCTTGCTAATCACTTCACTCGTCTTGGGAAATCTAACAACTCAAACCATTACGTACCACTGCTTGGTTTACATTGTTTTTTTATGACTGATTTTCTAATTACAGTTTTAATATACCAACACTTGATGTTATTATTTCAATTCTAACAAATAATTCAGACAAATATGTAACCTATCTATCTCTTTCTGCTAAGAGTGTGAACAGTCAGTGGATAAGTCAACGGTTCCTCGCTTCCGACTATTCTAATTGGTTAGAACTATATAATAGGTAGTTACTTGTTTCTATTGTAATAATTATGATTGACGACAGTTCGTAATACTACTTCTTCGACTACAACACTCAGTCGATTGAAAGTAAATAACCAAGGCAGTTAGAAAACGAAAAAAAACCCGAATTATTTACTTCTAGTTAACCGGTTACATTCAGGGGATTAGATAAAAAAAAGCATGGGTCGTTGAAGCGGTTAGGACATATGGTACTCAACCCTAACCATCATTTACGTCCAATGTGCAATGCTGGCTAATATGTCTGTATATGGGAAAAGAAAGCTCGATTTCAGCATCACTTACCTACGTCTGTTATCTCTCATGGAATATAGGTTGCCGATCACCACCGAAGCTTAACTGTACAGCGTAACTTTGGCCAATATGACTTAAAATATTTACTATGGTGCAGGTGCTTGCACTTTTTATCTTCTCGATATTGAATTCTAGCACTTCTTCATACATAACCTTCCACTCTATCTTTCCGTATTATACTACCAGTATTCAGTTTTTTTCATTGCCATTTTTATTAAGATTTTTTTGACTCTGCTATTTATCTCATTGTGTTACTGTGGTACATAGACTTGGAGAGACATACACCTGTCTCAGGCTCTACGTTGATGATGACTAACTTTGTTATTCTACAGTGCATTCTTTGGGTTGACATCTTAAACCTACTAATAACGTCAGGAATGTCCTCGATAAGGTATTCTAAGCTTGTATCGGATAATATTAGCTTTATGCTACTACAAAACTCGATTGCGAAATAGTTCCAAAGTTCCTGATTAGTCTTAATCATTACAACATGTAGGGCAAATATGAATTGATTCAAGTTGGCACACTCGAATTATCAATAACAAAACGAAGTTAACGAAACACAAACAGGAAAATTATTAATAGTGGTATTCGTATTAGTTAAGATAAGTTAAACACAGGACGCGTAGTGCGAAACCCTGAAGGAAATTGGGAAATGAAGACCGGTGAATCGGCATTATGTCACCAATCGCAGATGTGGAAACTCAAGTTTTATTCACAGTGTTGATGAAGTTGTCGTTATTCATCAGTTGAGGTAGTTAGAATATGTGTTAAGTATACCAAAATAACGTTTACATCAACGGGTGATGTTGGCTTGTGCGGGAGTGAGCTAGAAAAAGTTAGAGTCGGACTAAAGAAGATATTGAATCAGTCGATGGGTTCATAGACTGTTGGTTTGAGCTGAGTAGATAGCTACAAATTACGTGGTTAGGGCTCGCTTAATAAATGCGATCAATGGTTAAGGACTGTGTGATCTAGGCCACGATCAGTCACATTGATACGGATGCACTCTTTTTGTGAGTTTCGGTATTTCTTCAGACATAATTTTCTGCTTTCTTTTTTCGAATAATCTCAACTTCCAATCTTTCTCGACGTCATTTATGGTATATTATTTTGACTTATTTTGGTATTCGTCTTTTTTAATTATGTTAACGTAATATGGCGACTTGGACTGAAGTACATATGTGCTCGGGTGTACGTTGGTGGTGAATGAGTCACTACTATCAACATGTGACATGCTTCGAAGTCACCTGTTTCCTTAGTATGATTTGATGAGGGTGGCTATTAACAGTACCCTCAAATCGATAAGGTCCCCTAACAGATATCTTCCCAACAATGTGTTAAATATCTCATTATGAGAATTTTATTTCAGATTTCATCGGCCTTGAACTAACCAGACAAGGATGGAAGGATCAAAAACCATGGGTGACTGACTTAGCCATGCTGGTTGTGTAAGGGTTAGTGATTCTACCACTCTCCTAGCTACCATGACAGAAATAAATGCAGTGGGGTTTAAACCGGAAGGCCACTGGCTGAAAAGCTGGTTTTCTAAACACTAACTTACTAGTGGAGGAATCGGTCACTCAGCCATAAACATCGTAGAACCTGGCATATGTGCATCGGCTCACGCTGGTACGTCACATCAGCTCAGCTAAGTGAAACTAACAAGGTGAATGCCGAACTAATGGTAGGACTAGTGATAGTAGTAAAACATGCGAAGGGAATTCTTTTCGAGAAGGTTGAATAAATCTTCAGAATAAGAGGTGTATAATAAATTTGAAAATCAGCATATATTAGGGGATAAAAAGTAAATGATTCTGAGTTATTGCACTGTTATGAGCTGTGTCGCCCAATATTTCCAACCACTGGTCATAGTTATCGCTCTGGCCCCAACCAGATAGCCTACTTCTTCCTGCTTTTGTGCTTAATTTCATCCATCCCCCATTCTTTTATTCCGTTTATCTTCCCAAGGCTACATTCATCGTGTTTAGCTTTCTACTTCAGTTAGTATTACTTGTCTACCCCTATTTTCCATCTCTATTATTCCATTACTTTCTATACTGATGTGATGAGCTATGGGGTCTTGACGTGACTCATATTCAGGTTAGATGCTATGTTATCTGTTACTGACTGAGGGTTACAGGTTCTGTTTCAGCTATTATACGTGGTAACCACATTAACAAATGCTTCAAACACAACCACGGATATATCTTAATCAATAACTTATATACCTTGCTCCATGGTTGATAAACTAGTATGCACACATTTGTTATATATCTGTCAGAAACTATATATCGATGTATACGTATAAGCCATTTATCAGTTTATAACTTGCCTTACACTTTTTTTACTTAACGCAAAGGATTCATATATAGTGAATTATTCACTAAATGACCTTGTGCATTTCTCTACCTTTTTTGACATTTTAGGGCAATATAATTTGTAAATTGATTATGGTGATGATGGTGGTAGTAGAAGGTAGAGATTTATGTTTTCTCCTCCTGTTTCTTCTTCCTTCACCTTTCTTTATCAGACAAGAGATTAAAAGTAACCTGTCTTACTTTTTCATAGGTCAATTATGTGCATTTTTCCAGAGTTCTCCTATTTCTTTATGTCTTACAGAATTTTTTTCCATGCCAAATATGTGGGTATTTATAGCTATTTCATCTCTTGGGTCTCATTTTGACTAACAGTGATTTCCTCTTGTACATATATCTGAAATGAAACTCACTTTTAGGATGGATTATTCACTGTTTTTCAAAATTTATCTTTTCTTCAGAGTTTGTTAGATATTGGATTGTGTACCGAATAAGAAATGGACTGTTCAACAGTTATTCCCAATGCTAACTTTGTTGTAACTCACAAAGTATAAATTTATTTACTTGACTTCAAATCACACCATGTGAAGGGTTAAGCGTGGTACAAATCTGTAATCCAATGGTTGAAATTCGAATACTATAACCATTAAGCCTCCAGGACTACTTTAAGACCATATGGCATGACATCAATAGGTTGATTAAGTCAGAAGTCTACAAGACTGTACATAGAATTTTTCGGCAGGACTGTTCTTTACCACTTTAAGCGACTCGAAAATTAACATTCGAACTTAGCCCAGTCATTAAGCATTCATAACTCAAGTAGTATAAATAAATAATTTATTGTAGTATACTAAAAACGTTAAGATGAGAGGACACATTGTAGTCAAATGGACAGTTAGCTCTTTGATTTCAAAGCTCAAGAAACTTTATGTTAAGTTTGTGAATCATGTTAAAATATAATATGTACTTTAGTTTCATTATTTTTTTTTAATAAAAAAACTGGTTACTTTCTAACAATCAGTTTGTAATAAACGAAGACTTAAGCGGGAACAACCGGTTGCATTTAAATACAAGATTACAGAATTACTTGGTACAATATTAGAACCATACACTAAATACTTCATTTAGGAATTTCCATCATTTGTCCTTCACATTCTCCATGATCTTTCTATTCAACAATTTCTTTCTATTTTACCTTTTGTTCTTTTTAACTCAATCTTCTTAGCCTTCTGCTATCGGGTTTTCCACTCCCGGTTGGTGTTACATACTACTTATTTCGATAGACATGAGTAGCATACATCACAAGTTTATTTTTGGTATGCTTATCTATGTTAAGTGTTTTTATAATCAAATATTGAAAGGTTTTACTTAGTTATTGGTGAACTAGGTACAAATTACTTGTTACGGTGTTTTAAATTCGAAAAACTTCAAGAAATATTATATTAAATATAATTGGTTGATCAGTGTTGTACTGTTTAATCAATCCTTTCAGATTACAATCTGTATGATGATCAAAATCTATGACTAAAGATATGAAATTACACGATCTGTTGGGAATGTTTGTTAAAGTTGAAATATTCCCAATAATTTTGTGTTTTACCAACTCGTTATTCTTACTTATCATTTGTATGTGTAACGATTGTTTTAGAATATTTACATAACTTATAGCTTAACATCATGGACTGACTTCAGTTAGACAGTCATTGAAAACCCGAATGTACTGGACAGGTTTTCCTTTCTAGTAGTATGTCACTGGATGCCAACTTAATAGTCCAAAAGTGTCCTAAAGATCTTGAAATCGACCCTGTTAGCGGAGGTGTACGTAGATATGTATTGTTAATGAGTTCAGTGCTTCCTGTTTTTCAATCTGACCATAGTTGGTCTAAAATGTGAAACTTCAAATTCAACAATCTCCAGAACATCCTATAAAGAAATTTATGTAAATATTACCAGTAATTATTTAATTGCGTATATTTTTTAGGGGTGTAAACAAGTAATTAATGATTTGGTGAAAGAAAAATTTCTCATGGCAATAATCCTTATTATGAGTGTTCCAGCATCAAAGGTTAGTCTTAGTTTGTTTGAACTGCTATTTTAATTATAATTTTACGTATGTGTATTGTTAATGTAAATAATTGCTACTGCTACTACTACTCACTTAAGATGATGATCTGGATGAAGTAGTGATTTCGGAAGGTACGGATGGACGATTAATTATGCGAAGCCATGTTCTGCAGTGCATTGGCTCATGTTGGAGTGCTTAACAAAGGAAATTTAAATAAATATCAAGTAGGATTTAAATGAAGTGAAATGGGAGGAAAGCAAATATATTATTTCCCGAAAATTCGACCCAAGCCATTCGACAAAGGAATTTTTAACGGTTACTGTTATGGCTTTAAGTTTGCTGGTCGATTTCTACCCTGTGTTATCGATCGATTACAGTGACACGTAAACACGTACGGACGGCCTAGAGTCTCGATTGGTCCCACTTCCCTGTCCAGCCCAGTTAGTTGAGTCCAGAACACAAGTCACAGCCTCGGAGATATGAATCATTATATTTCAAACATACTTTGTTTATATACCAATCAAGCATACCACATCGTACCATAAAATAGAAAACAACATTTTGTACAATATTCAACAAGTGAACAGATATCGACCAATAGGAAATATCCATTTAAAGTCCAAGGACACCACTGGACTTAACATGATAATTATTGGTCTATTCCTCTGCATCCACAACAGTTACCATTTTGAATCAAGCGCCTACCGTCAAGTCAGGCTCTACAAAACATATCTTAGATGAGTGATTCCCAAGGATACTCTAAAAATGTATAAATACTGACTTTCTCACTCATGGATCACGAGATGACCCTTTGACTTCCCAATGTTTTCTCACTTGTTTAGGTGTCGAGTCGAAAGTTGATGGGAGATCAGTACAGATTAATTTGAGAGTTTTAGGATATATCTGTTCGTCGAGTTTGCTTGTGTATCCATCTTTCGATTTTCTTAGTTATAACCAGGTTATAACAGTGACGACAGTTTTTACGCCAACAGAAGAATGACTTGTCCACGTTTTAGAAGAACATAGTTATATCTGCGCCACTGAGATACTTGGCTTACAGTTTTTTAATCATTAATTCCTAATATATCAACTTTATCCATGAAATCTCCACTTCGACAGTGAGTAACTTCGTGTATCACGAATATGTCTAGTTCTAGGAAGACCTATTAGTCCCTTTTATAAATTTTGATAGAGCAATCAAAAGACGGAGTTGATCTGAAAAGTTTGATATATTTGCGTTGTACATTTCGAACAAACTGTTTTTATAAATATTTGTTAATTCCTTTTTACATGAAAGTTAATAAAATTCAAATAAACAAAGGGGTCATTTTAAACAAAAGGAATGAAAAAGTTCATATTAAAAGAACAGAAATTCGTCACACCATCCTAGGCTGTAAAATGGCCTAGGCTAGATGTCAAGGTTACAACAAATTATTTCTGTACACAAAAAGGAAGTTTGAATTTTTCAATAGCCAAGGCTTCCACAAACCTAAAAATTTGTTCTTGTCAGTTGATGTTGATGTTTATCCTATACTCCATTTCAACTATATGTTTTGCTATTGATAAACATGGTTTTCGACTTCCTATGTTTATCGGAACAGTTAAGACTAACTGGTTCTGAAGCCATATATGTACATGTTCTATAAACATCCAATCGGAGGTTATGGTAAATGTGTCTAGACTACCTCATAATAAGTGTCAAATGCACTGAATTCATGTTCATTCTGATTTATGAATAATAGACACCTTTATGTTTGCTCCTAGCCTTACTTCACTATTGAAGTTTTAAATTTTAACCATATTCCTTCTAATTTAATAATCCCTGTCTGAAATGTCTTATCAGTCACACTCGAAATAACTGAATAGCGACTATTGTTATGTTTATCCAGTAGTAGCCACACTGCAACTTGATTGATAGAATCTAATCAATACTAAGGGTTTAGATAAACATGATGCTGGTTACTACTCAGTGATCAGCCCATATAAAAATCGACCTGAAGGAGGTCAGTCGCTCACTGATAATATCTCTGACTGTCATAAAGAATGAGGCTAATGATAAGCGCTAACTAATTAACACAAAATTTAAGTTTAACGGGACATTCTTCACAATTGTTTCCAGTTATAATCCATGGATAAACATTAAATTAGCCAATCAATGAGTCACAAGGGACGTAGAATCTAGCATCAATATCCATATCATCACAGGAATCTGAAATTATTAAGATGAATCCTAAAGTAGTAAAAATAGCAACTGTATCAGTGATAGTTGAATACATTATGCATAGACAATATAATTTAAGAAGAAAGAATTAATTCGTGGGCTAGGAAAAAATCTTTTAAAACTCGAGATTTAAGAAAGGAAATAAGTGAGTTCATCTGTTCAAATTTAACCAATTCTTAGCCATATCAACTAACGTCTCCAACCGTTAGTTACTAGATTCTACATTCATCTAAACGGCTTTTCCTCAATAGTCAATAACTTGATGGATTAATGTCAAGTTTTAGTTTGCCTGCCCATGAATTTCCTCCAGCTAACAACGGTCATTGAGGTAGCCAGTGATTGGACATACGTAATACGTATATTTTGTTAATCATAATGATCATATTTTTCTAATATCTCAACTTTAATAGCAAGATTTATCATTATAATAAGTGATTGAATTAATCCAAGTGGATCCATATATTAATTGTTTGTATGAAGTTAGTAAAGGAAATACACCCATTAAGACATTAAATAAGATTGATTCAGTGAAGAGTTCACTTTTCAGTGAATTCATTTTCAAAGCTGTACAATCACAAATATATATATACCTCTTTTTTTTCCAGGATGATAATAATGATAATAAACCTCTGTTAGACATAATGACAGTGAGGTAGAATAAATAAAGGTATTAAAATTATTTTTTAAACAGGTAAACTAATAATCGTTCCTATAATCCTCCTGATTACATTTAATCTTAATTTCAACATTTTATCTTATCATACTGAGCCATCCTTTCCCAATGATAATTTCCTTATCTATCTTTTGATGATTATTTAAACCGTTAACAATTAAACGTTTATTAGCTTGCTAGGCACTCGAGCAGTATCACAGCCCTCACACAAATCAAATGAGATTTGTGTAGCGTATATGTATCTGGTGCCCCCCTTGTACCAGTATTTATCTGTTCAAATAAATAAATAGTTTGCTTAGAATGCTTGTGAATTAAGACAATATCGAGGCAATAGGCACAGTATACACATATGCCAATAAGACTGATCAATCGCCGTTCTAAATAACAATGGCAATATATAAGCAAATACCACCTTGAAAAAAAGAAGTATATATATTTACTGTTGTACAGCTTTGAAAATCAATTCGTCGAGAAGTGAGCTCTTCACTGAATCAATTTTATTTAACGTATGAAATTAATCAATAGTTAAAATCCGACCCAAAATGATTATTTATTCATTAATGTAACTGTTATGTTGTGATTTAGAGAAAAGATTGACAGTTTGGTTTGTGCTGTGAATCGAATCTATGTATATGTGTATTCACATTTAATGTCGCCATTTATATTTCTGTGACATATGAATTACTGTACTTCATTTTTTAATCATTAAGGTTTACTTTACTTAACACCTTGTGTTTTCTGTGTTCATCAATTGAACATCAAGAGTATTTTTTTCTCAATCCCATACAAAGTTTGTCTGTTTCAGACCAAGTTACTAAGTTTCTTTTATTTTTTATAATAATATTTATTTTGGCGATAACATCATCTGTAGGTTTCAAAAAATTGTGCAGGGTACCCAAACCATGATCCGCACAAGTGGATTGGAAAGAAAAAAAGGTATAAATGAACAATATCAATGTGCAATAGGGAATACAATTCAGATAACAACACAACCACAAATTCATTCCTTTAATTAAGGGAGTTTCTTTCAATTTTATGAAGAGTTAGGTAAAAAATTACATCTGGATCTCCGCTGGCCTCAATCCTGAAATATATACGATAACGTCTCAAGCCATCGAATTAAGCATTGTTTAAAATCTCAAGTGAAAAATGGTGATGGTCTTGATCAGTAAAATTCGTTCAGCTCATTAAAAACTAGATAAGCATGTTATTGATCACTATTCAGTGTTTAATTAAAATGTTAATATCTCAGTCCTACAGAAATTCAGTCACGTCTCGTGATAACGTTTCAAACTCCGAAGCTTGGTGATATGGGTTTCTAGTCCTGAAAGGAGTTTCATAAATATTACAAATAAGCCTTGCTTATGATTATGATCTGGAACGAAGTCTTTAGTTGCGATTCACTGACGCATGCAAATTTTATACAATTGCCTTTCATATCATGGTACCATATCATTAACTAACTACCTTTTTACACTTAATCCCAATCTCAGTAAATAATGCCTGGTTTGAAAAGCCCTTATGATATTCGCGGAATATATACTTAACTCACTCAATTCAATGTTTCAAGATGGTAACATATACAAAATCACACTCAGACGGGTAAAACATCCCACTCATCTATACGAAAAGTAAGAACATCTTACTATGAAACAAATACTTATTTCACAAGAGATAGTCAGTTTCATTCAGTAGTGATAAAAAAACAACAACTAAACTTTACTGACTAGTAATTACATTTAGATGATGGTGATAACGGTCCAATGGTTAAACACATTCCATTTAAGTGTTACACAAAAATCTAGTTTCAATACCAGTTATATAAACTTATGCGTTTGGTAAATGAATGATATAAAAATTGAACCTTCTTAATGAAAATAAAAACTGAAAATATAAATTTGACTATTTATTCAAATGGATCATATGATAAAATGATTATGTAGCAATAGTTGTTGTAATTATTATCATTACAATCTCAACTAGTTGGTTGCAGATTTGCACTACACTCTATTCAACTTCAATTTGGATCTGTCTTATTTATAATAATAATAATATTCTTAGGAATAAAATCAATGATAGATGTTGTAGTGAACAGAACACGAGTGG